AGAGACACTCTATAAAGTCTTACACAGTCACACACACACACACACACACACACACACTCACAAGAGAATGACCCTGTCAAAACCAAGGCAGAAGATTGGGTGCAAAATGTGTCATACCACTCCGGAAGCCACCTTGGAGGCTGTGGTCCCTGAGCTAGTGTCCTGGACTTTCATCAGCATTCCTATCTTGAGAAGGGACCTGAAAAAGGAAGGAAAGGAAGACTATTGGTATGAGAACATGAATGTGAAAAATGGATGGATTGACTACACTTCACAGTCTACTGGGGTTTGGATCTGGCCCCCCAAACTCTCATACGCTAAGAGGTGAGGTTTGGGGAGGATGTTTGGATCATGGGACTGCTGTAATGATCAGTGGATTGATTTACTGATGCTTAGTTCAGCACCTGAGTGTGTTGTTAGGAGGTGCTGCCTGGTTGGAGGTGGGTCACTGGGGACGTGACTTAGAAGGGTGCATCTCCCTCTCCAGCATTTCTCTTCTCTCTCTCTCACCTGGCTGCCAATATACAGGCTCTTGGGAAGAAAGATATGTGAGCCAAAATTTACCTCTCCTTCTTTAAGTGCTAGATGTTGGGTATTGTGTCTTAGCAATGAGTGAGGGACTAAATCTATTCCTATAATCTTTGTAGTTGACCTGACAAAGCTCCAAGACACAGCCCCACTACTGTGCTTTGTCTCAACTCAAATGCAGTCCAAGTTGAATCAGTACACAAAATTAACTTCTTTCCTGCTGCTTCCCTGTGTGTATTACAGGCTCACATGCACATGTGCACACACACACAGCCTTAGGGAGAGGAAACGAGTTCAGTGGTCAACAACCTCTGGCCAACGGAGATAACACTTGTGCCTGATTTAAACTGTCCATATGTCAACAGTTCTTAACTGATAGATACTTCACAGTAAATGTCTTAGGCTTGGCTTTATCAAGCCTCTTCCAGCCATGGCTCAGAATTATGGGTCAAAGTTAGCGGGAGGAGGAAGGTACAGGGAACAGACTGTCAGGAAAGGAGTGTAAATGGGACCTATCCAGTGGTTAGGGCACCCGAGCATTATTTCTGTCAGTTTGTTTACATAACTACAATCCACTCTCTTGGATGCCCTAGAGAAAATCCACTAGAGGAGTGTTCAAAGTATATAATACACGAGCTAAACAGAAATAAATAACTCTGTTATGGGTGGGGGGACCCCTCTGACCACTCGTTTTACCAAAATGAACTCTGCATGGTTGAGCAGCACTCCTCACCCCCTTTCCTAAGATGAGTTGGATCTGGCTCTGGAATATTTATTGAGGAGACCTTTCATTATAAAGCAGCCAAGTACCAGTTACCAGAAATATATGCAAGTTTTTAAAGTCTACATTCAAGGTTTAAAACCTTTTTGCTTATGAAAAATGTCCTACCTGGCCTCTCTCTGTCTCATTTGGGAGATTAAACGGTAGCTATATAGTTGAACTGCAATTCGCATGACTCTGAAGAAGCCATTATCATTGAAATTCAAGACCCTTGATCTAAGGTGTCTTGGAGAACTATAGTGTGCTATATACTATATATTAGAGTGCTGAGTACAAAGCAAAATTAAGCCTTGTGAAGAGCTACAGGAGAGAGCCTTGTATGAACAAAATATAGTTATCATAACAACTGATCTGCATGGGCTGTATTTCATCCAGGAAGTCTGGGGTATGTGTTGATAATCAAGTGAACAGCTAGAATAGTCAAGAGTAGAGCAAGGAGAATACTTTCTTCTTCTCTGAAAATGGAGTTTTCCTCTTGAATGAACAGTGGAGGAATATAACTGAAGCAGAGATAGCCTCAGTCTGTGAGAAACAAGGACAGTAAAAGTCAAGGAAAGGTCCCAGTAGGGAGGAGATCTCAATGAGAAGGACTCAAGAAAGATAAGATTTTGAAAAAGCAAAGAAAAGAGTTTTTAAGATTAATTCATATGAAATGGTGATAAGAAGGATTCTAAGCAGAAAAAAAGACCAAAACAGAGAGAAAAATACAGACTTCATCAGAAATATTTGCCACATGATTGCAAAAATATCACAAAGTTCTAACTAAGGTTCTGGTCCCTTTGCATTGCTATGATGTTCCTCAGATTAACACATTAACCAACTTACTACTACTAATTGTGTGCCTAAAATTACCAGTTACCATGGGGTGGTATTCAGTTAACTACTTGCAACTGAGTCACTAAATGTATTGGTTAGTTGCAAATAATATGAATTCCAGAGCTCTCCTACAGACCTACATTTTTTTTTAATTCCTAGGGGAAGGTGTGGGAATCTAATTAAAAATAAAAAGCACCTCAGATTATTCTTAGGTATACTAAAGTTTGAAATTATTGCCATATTGGACAACAAAGTAAATGTGAGATGTGGCCTCTGCTATCATTAATCATGCAGTCTAAGTGTGAAATGTTGTCAATGTTTAAGAGTTGAATGGATAATATAATTACATAATCATAATTCAGATAACTATAATTCAGAAAGTTTTCTAGGAGAGTTTTCTTGCTCTTACCTTCTTCCCACAGCCAAATATGGATTTTATTTTGTTTGCAACTGTTCTCTGTTTCACATTTATTTTTGTGTTTTCTCTCATACAATTTGTTTCTTAAGAACAAGAGCCGTAACTGATCCATCTCTCTCTTCATAAGTGCTTAAATGGATGATGTGTGATGGAGGAGGTGGGTAGGAGGCTGCAAGAACGCAGTAGTAATGAGGAAATTTGTCCTACTATAGGAAACATTAACATAAAAACACAATTTCATCCAATTAAGAAGATGAAAGCGCACAGATATGTAAATATGAGATAACTGCATAAGCAAAAAGATCAAAGTGAGAGGATTATCTCTGTCCAAACGTATTAAATTCTTAGAGTAATATTATAGTCTCAGAAATATTCCAATTAAAAATTGTATAAAAATATAAAATACTTAGACATAATTTAAAAATATATGCAAGATTTCTATACAGAAAACTGCAAAAATATTGGTAAGAGTAATTATTGAAGCGCTAAATAAATGAAAAGATATATCGTATTTACAACTTGTAAATCTCAGTACTGATGTCAGTTCTCTTCAAATTGATCTATTGATTCAAGACAATCCCAAATGAGCTTTAAGGAGGCTGTTCATTTATTTGTTTGTTTGAGGTGTTTGTTTGTTTGTTTGAGACAGGGTGGCACTATATCGTTTGGGCTGGCCTTGAACTCACTATGCAGCCCAGGAGAACTCACAGCGATTCTGCCTCAGACTCCTGAATGTGGGATTCCAGGCATTTGCCACTATGCCCAGCCTCAAGCAGGCCTTTTTGACAGTTAAAAGCAAGCTGATTCTAAATTTTATTTGAAAATGCAAAGGGCCTAGAATAACCAAAACAAAGGGCCGGGATTTAGCTCAGAGGTTCGGTGGCCTGCCTCGCAAGCACAAGGACCTGAGTTCCATCCCCAGTACCACAAAAAAAAAGAATAACCAAAACAATCCTGGGGGGAAAAAGTTAACTATTGTAAACCTGTAATAATTAAGAAAAGTGTGTATTTGAAGAAAGAATGCAAAATAGATCAATAGAGCATAATTACATATCCAAAGATCAGACCAGACACATATAAAAGCAAATGATTTTTGGCAAGGATGCCAAAGTAGTTCAATGGGAAAAATACTTTAACAAGCATTTAGAACTGAATATTCATCTATGTATCTATCTCTCCAGTGATATATCTCTCCATGAGTGCTACTCACGCTATACAAATTAATTCAAATAAATCTTAACTGGATATGAACAACAATTCTTCTAAAAGAAAATATAGAGAACTATCTCCATGACCTTGTAATAGACAAAGATTCTTAGTAAGCATACAAAAGTGTTACTCACAAGAGAAAAACAATTTATAAATCAGACTTCATCAAAATAAAATTATCCTGTCATTAAAAATATAATTGAGAAAATAAACAGAGAACCTATATATTTCCACAATATACCTGTCTGACTATATATAATCCCAAGAATTCAGTTATAAAAGAACAAATAGCCTAGATTTTTAAAGGCAAAAAATATGGATACGTCATAAACGAGGATCTACAAATTACATACCAAAAAACTCTCAATATTAAAAGTCATCAGGAAATGAAATTAAACTATAATGAGGCATCACTACACATCCTCAAAAATGGCTAAAATTAGAAAAAGGTTGGCAGCTCCCAAAGTTAGAAGAGGACATGAGTGACCAGAACACTCCTATGTTGCTAACAAAACTAGGACTAATAGAATGACTTTGAAAAATGGTTTGTGAGTGACTTAACCCTTAAGAAAGTTAAACATTCATTAATTCTGCATTGTATGTAATCCAGAAATTCCATGATGAGATGTCCATCTCAGAAAAGAAAACATATATCCACAAACATCCTCATTAATTACTGCTTATAGAAATTTTGTTCATAAATATACAAAACTAAAAACAGCTAGATGTCCATCAAAAGGAGAATATATACCTGTGGTAACTTCATATTATGGCTTACTCCTCAGCAAGAAATGCTATCAACATGGATAAATCTCACAAATATTTTGCTGAGTGAAAGAAGCCACACACACACACACACACACACATGAATTCATGCTATATCATTCTATTAATTTGAATTCCTAGAACTGACAAGACTGTGATTAAAGAAATCAGATGAGTGACTGGGGAGGGAAGGAAGGGATTGTCTAGAAAAAGACAAAAGAGAACTCTCTAGGGAACAGTAATGTTCTGTGTCTTAAAATGGTTATCAGCTACATGCATATAGGCGTTTCTCAAAACAGTTCAAGCTGTACACTTAAGATCTGAATATTTCCCTGATTATAAATTCTATCACAATTTTAAGTCCAGATTTCCAGAAGATACTTTGTGATAACAAAAAACTCCTAAATTTTAATGACAATACAACTGACATTTATTTCTCACAAAACTTGGTATCTCTCTAGGGGATCTTTTCTTCATGATGTCCCATAACTTGTGACCAGATTCTTCAAATGTTCTGTCTCTTCATCTTGTCATGAAGTCTGCTCCAGTTTCCTTGACAGCGGAAGAGAGACGGGAAAATCATGCGGGGACTTTAAACTACCTCTGCCCAAATGTGACCTTATGTTACTTCTTCTCACATCCTATTGGCCAGGATCAGTCACATGATCCTGAATTAATGCAAAGGATCTGGAAGTGTAGACTTCCATAGGAAATGTAAGAAAGGATAACTAAGATATTGGTGAACACTACAAATTCTTGCCACATTATCTGTACTCAGTGTTCTTCTATTTTAGCAGAGAAGCCTAACTTTCTATAAGTTTGATAGCTCATCTGTGACTAGACCTGGTCTTAGTGAATAAAATGTCCTTCTTTCTACAAAGAAAGGTTAAGTGATGTATTTCCCTTCTTCAAACATGGCTGAGCTAATTCTTCCTGGTAGACAGAGGTAAGGAATTCTGTATCTAAGAAAACTGCAACAAGAAACAAATCTGTGAAATTAACTGAAGTCCGAGTACGTGTACATCCAAGCTCAAGAGGAAGGAAATACATGAATTGCTGAGGTAAATCTGAGGGACAAAGCATTACAAATGATTGACATGCCAATCTGGTCCTAAATAAACTATGATTGGAGATAATGGCCATCCTGGACTCATGCTTCTATGGAAAAATTAGGAATTCCGAAAGGAAAATGGGCGTGTTTATCTGGTCCAGCCTGACAGTTTTGTGTTTGTCAAAATTTTTATATCCTTAAGACTTTCTGAATTGGTGGGTCCATTGGGGAAAGGCTTACTGTAGCATACAAGGGAGAAGAAAGAGAAAGAGGAGGCCTGTTTTGTAATTATGTTTGAAATTTGCATGAAGGGTCTTGCAATCAAACAATTAAAGGGGGAAATATTTTTGACAGATCAAAAAGGTGAGATGTCAGAGACTCTTTAAAATATCTGGGAGACAATGCTGATTAATTCTGGCTGAAGTTGAAAAAAAAAAGCAGATATTGTTTCTAAACTAACCTGTAGAATTTTCTGATCTTATAAGCACCTTTAAAGTTCAGTGTCACCAGGAAGAGTCAGATATTAGATTGTATAACTGTTCCCATAAATTGCTCAAAGGTTACCTCTCGTCCAGTAGACAGGGACTAAAGTTGCATAATCAGTGAAGCCCAGCGCAGACTGGGACACATAGAATATTAATATCTTTGAAGAATTTTCATCCACTTGGGGAGAAAGATACAGCTTGATTGCAGAGCGGTTAGAGAATGTGTAGCATACAAACATATCATCAGTGTTGTTGAGCTAGTGCCTGCCTCCACTCATTCCAGAAAATTGCAGGAGAATGATTGCAGGGTGCCAGAGAAAGACTGTCAGCTGTGAATCTGATGATTGATGTGGCTTGTTTAAGTGTGTTCAACCAAAAACAAGCTGGAGTGACCAGGCTTACCTTTTCCTCTTTAGGTGCTATAACTGGCACCCCCCATTTAAATCTTTGACTGATGTACTGGTCAGGACTATTTCTGTTCTAGATGAAAGAGACCCCAATCCAAGTTGCCTTGAGGAAAATAAAAGAGAGAGAGAGAGAGTTTATATAATCTATATAACTGAAAACTACAGGCATAGAGCTTCAGGTACAGATGCGTCCAAGCCTTTAGATGAGTAGTACCAAACCTTTCCTTAAATCTTGGCTCTCTTCTCTCCAGTCTTACTTTCAGTTACATGTCACATCAAACTACAATCTTACAGTTTCATATTTGATAGATGAACAAGCGTTTATCTCCCAACAAATTTCATTTACATTCCCTGACTCATACTCTTTTTTAACAAATATCTCCATCTTGGTAGAATGAAACAATTAACCAGGCCAAGAGATATTAGTGAGGTCTGACTCACGTAACGACTCCTAAACCAGTGGTGGTGAGCCTATAGCACAGCATGCTGCAGCAGGCATGCAGAGCATTGGATAACAGTTGTTTTTTTCTAAACTAAAACCTCCATAATTCAGTTTAAGTGCAGTGTTGGCATTTTGAGATAAGCGGATTTGGGGTTAGAGTTTGGGCACTCAGTCTCTAAAAGTCTCACCATCTCTGTCCTACAACAATCACCCATGACCAAGCCAGAGTCACATGCTCCACTTCTGAGCTGAATGGACCTTCACCTGAACCAGTAATCTAACAATGTGAAGAGATAAACGGTTCCCCAAAGGAAATTCCAGGTACTTATTAGACAAGTAAAAATGGAATCTGAGTGGACAGGAAAGGAGAGGGAAAGAGACAAAGGGAGGGAGAAAAGGAAGGGAGGCTGAGAGAAAAGGAAGCAGGAAGACAGGCACCATTCGCGATAGCCAAAGCTGGCAGTATTCTCTAATATTATATGCTGGAAATTATTTCACAGAAATTAGGGGTAAGATTCATATCTATATTTACAATTATAGATTTTGAGAAGTGGAACAAACAGCATCACAGGTCATAAAACTGATTTCCAATTCTGTTAAGTTGCAGCCAAATCTTAACTTGATGAGTACAGTGGAACAGAGTAAGTAGGAAGAGTATGTTCTAAGGTTCAAAAATATTAATTGAGTGAATAAAAAGAAAGAAATATTTACAGAGCTTCTTGGTTTAATTAAAAAATATCCTTGTACTCTCTTTAGGCTTTTAAAACATGTTTGGGCAGGTCAGTTCCCATTCAAGTAATGGTACCATACCTGATAAAAATGTAATGCTCCTGACAATAACAAGTATAAAGTTTGGATGCAGTATTTAAAATTACTATTTTGAGGCACTAGAGAACAAGAAAAACCAGTAATAAACTGGAGGAGATACAGCTCTCAAAGCGAAGAAAGCAAACTAGGTGAGATTTATATGACTTATTCCTCTCAAGGTTCCTACCAGGTTTGCAGAGCACAGGGTACCTAGCTCACATAGGAAGTGGGAGTCTGACCTAAAAGAAGAGTCAAAGGCTGGAATCTGAAGATGTCAGAACACAGACAGAGTGGAGAGAAGGAGTCCAGAGCAAAAGAGGTCACAAATGGTAGATTTTCCATATATGCATGCAATTACCCTCAAAACCATGGATGATTCCTACACTTCATATGTCTGAGGTGATGTTTCCAGAGAGCAAGCAGGTAGCAAGAACTGGAAACCTAAAGTGCCAAGGAGACAGTTCATCAACTACCAGAGCTAGGGAGAGTTTGACTTTAAATCCTATCAAGTTCCATACCTTGAATTATCCATTGAAACCTCAGAAGAGCCACTCCGTATGAGCAAATAGTATACATTAGGACTAAGAAACATGTACTATGGATGAAGAAAATAACTGAAACAAGCATGCCCTAACAAAAGCTAAAACCAAGCCTCTACGAGATCAAAATCATTCCCTGGTACTTTTAACTACCTCAACAAAACACAAGTTTTCAACATAGACAGAATCTTGTCTCAAATTTACATGAACACATTCATCATGACATCTAAAATTACTAGACATGCAAAGAAATGGGAAAATTCAACCTATAATAAAAAGAAAAAAGTGATCAATGTAAACAGACCCATAGATGAACCAGATGCTGCAAAAAAATTTAAAACTCGTTTATAAGTTCATTTCCTACTACTATAATAAAATGCTTGAAGCTAGGTAATGTAATCTATAAAGAAAAGAGGTTTATCATGGTTTTGGAGATTGAAAGTCCAAGGTCAGGTGCCCCATTGGCTTAGCAGACTATATCACACTAGCAAAACCACATATAGAGGAAGGGTACATGGAGAGACAAGAAGTTAGAGATATTCGGGGCAAGGCTCACTCCTTATATAACAAGTCCCACGTGCAGGAACTACCAAGGTTTCTCAAGAACTACATTAATCTCTTCTGAAAATGATGTCCCCAAAGACCCAATTACTTCCCACTATCTCTCACTTCTTCAAGGTTCTACAATCTCCCAGCACTGCCACACTGAGTACCAAGGTTGTGGCATGTAAAACTTTGGGGGACACACTCAAACCACATCCAGAGCATAGCAACTATGATAAATATATTGAAATATATAAAAAAAAATTGAGCAAGGAAACACTGCATTTGAGAAGAGACATGGAAATCCTGAAAATTCACATTTAAACCTAATCCCAGTTGAGATGGCATTTTGGAGAAAGAAACTTAATGGAAGTCATTAGGTAAGTAAGGTGGAGCCTTCGTGAATAAGATTACAGCCTGTGATCATTAATTGTGATACGTCAACCTGACTTGAATAACTACCTAGTAGATTGGTCCTGGGTGTGTCTGTGAATGATTGGCATGTAGGCTAGCAATCTGAGGGGAAAGACCCAACTCAGATGTGGGTGACACCAACCAACAGGCTTGCAGCCTGGATGGAATCAAAAGAGAAAGAAGAAGGAAATGCACCCTGTTAGTTGGAACTCAAGTCTTTACCATTGACTTCGAACTTTGGTCTTCAGTTTCTTCAGCCTTCTGGTGCAAACTCCTCAGCCTTCCAACCCTGGCTCTTCAGCTTTCTGACACAGAATCACACTGGTAACCCTACAGTGAACATCCAGGTCAACATTCAACTGCTACTGGACTCTCTCATTCTCCAGTATGCAAGTGGCTATTTGGGATTCTCCCACCTCTAATTCCACAGACAGCTATTGTGACTCTTCTGCTTCTGATCCTGTAAGCCTTCTTAATAAATCCCTTTGTATAATTATACGTATATTTTATATTGATTTGGTTAATCCAAAGAACCGTAACTAATGCAGTCCCCTTATAAAAGAAACTCCAAGGAATTCACCATTCCCTTCTACCATGTGAGAACACTGCAACAAGACAGCCAGCCATCCATGAAACACAGCAGCATTCATCAGATACCAAATCTACCAGCTCCTTGACCTTGGGCTTTCCATCCTACAGAACTGTGAGAAATAAGTTTCTATTCCTTCTAAGCAGCCCAGTTTGTGGTATCTGTCATAACAGCCTGAAAGAACTAACGTAGGTAGGCTTAAAAGCCAGTGGAACAACGCAAAAGAAAAAAAATCAGTTAACTGGAAGACAAACCATAGAAAATATCAGTAAGTCAAAGATACTGAAGCCCAGAAAGAAATAAAACCATTCTAAAAAGAAAAACTCAGTGAGATGTGGGATAATTTAAGTGGCATAAAGGAGAAGCAAAGAGAGAGCTAAAAGTTCAGGTTATAAGAACAATAGATGAATTTTTTTCTAAATTTGATGGAAAAACAACAATTTCCAGAACCAGAAAATTCAGGAAATCTTAAGAAGAATAATTACAAAGACCCTATTTAGGCACATCTTAATTATACTACTGAAAACCAAAGAGAAAATCTTTAAACCAGGTAAAGTATAGGAAGACATATATTATGTTCAAAGAAATAATGAGAGTAACGGCTAACTTCTCACCTAAAATAATGGAGAGCAGAAGACAGCTGGAACAATACACTTAAAGCAATGAAAGGGAGACATGTCAACAGTGAGTTTTACATCTAGTGAAATACCTTCGAAAATAAAGGTGAAATAGACATTTGCAGCTAAATGAAAGAGGAGAAAATTGTCACCAGTAGACAATCAGTGCTGTAGAGGAACAATGCCAGATGGAAATTCAGATCTACAAGAAGGAATTAAAAGCAGTAGAATAATAAACATGTAGGTAAATATAAAATTATGTTTTCTTTCCTTAATTTATTGAAAAAAATACAAACAGACATAATCTGCCTGTGTCTCTGAAGTATTCATCTGGCCATGAGCTGAGCTGTCTACTGCCACTCCAAGTCTGATAATATTCCTCAGATCCAGGTCTTGAATTGGTAGGAATTCAAATTCTTTGGGAATCTGTTTGTATATCTTATTTCTAAAGGAATAAAAGTAAAATCTGCTTCAAGATGCCAAGTGCTGGGAGTGGGGCACCACAACTCCTCCAGGACATCACGACATGGGAAGAGAATCCAAGATAAAGCATTGGGTGTCGACTCACTCAAGGCACCCAGCTGCTTCAGCCCGGGGTGTTCAGTGGCAACTTTGTAGACTGAGGACCCACAAACAAAAGAAATCTTATAAATTGAGCTGAGTGGCTTGTCTTGAGGCCTTCTAGTATTGAATGTGTACTATTACATACGTTGGCTGAGTATCTCCTAAAGTGGCAGGCACTGTGATAATGGCTCTTTGGGGGACAAGATACGAAATAGCCATAATCCTGTCCTCAGAGTATTTCAGAGGATGGATGATCACAACTAGACCTAACGTGAGGAAATAATATTAACGTAAGTAATGTTATGGCTTGCGCCTAGATGCATCCCCAAAGCCTCATGTGCTCATAGGTAGGGCTTTTCAGAGGTGGCTGGATAGAGAGTGTGTGATGCTGAAATTAAATGTGTGATGCTGAAATTAAATGTGCAATGCTGGTATTTAGGGTGTGTGATTACTAAAATTGATTGGTTTGGCATAATTCTGGGAATGGATAATAGGAAGGCCCTCCCTGGATGTGAGTGTTTCCCATCCTGAGGGTGTATAGCCTGGATAAAAAAGAAAGAACAGAGAGCTGATGTTGTCACTTGCTTCTTGCTTCTTTACTACTTTGTTGATTTGCTGTCCTCTGCCTACAATAAACCGTTTCCCCTCTGCCATGCCACCTGGCCTTGGAACCAGTCAACTATGATCTGAAACGTCTACAAACTGTGAGCTAAAATAAACCTCTTCTCCTTTAATTTTGGGTGTTGGGGTTGGTTTGTCTCAGCAACAAGAAAAGTAACTAAGACAAGTAAAAATAAAATTGTAATAACAGCTAGCAAGAAGTGAATACCTATTATGAATTAGGCATTGTGCTCAGTGGTTTTCATTTAATTGTCACAATATTCTCCTGAAAGGAACAACTATTATCACTAATTTTAGAAATGAAGAAATGGTGGCTTGTGAAGACTCAGCAGGTAAATTGTGGTGCCAGAATTGGATCTCAAGTACTTGACTCTGAGGTCTACTTGCTGATCACTACAATCAAGACTTGAGGAAGTGCAGAGAGAGTGCGGTAGGATGTAAGGATGTAGACTGCATCCTCCCAGGACAGTCAGCTGGGGCTCCATACAGAAGGGGCATATGACTGGGTCTTGGTGGTAGAGTATGGACTCATAGACTGGCAATCCACAAGGAAGAATAAGATTTCAGGAGTGCCAGGGCACCAAGAGTAGGATTGTTATGGCAGTCAGTGCTGCTGGTCAGTGAGGCTACACCTATCTCAGTGCCAGAAAGCAGACGGTCTTGGGACCAAAGCACACATGAACCCAGAAGACAGCCTATCCCACTAAGTCCCATGGGGGCAGATAGGTGCTAACTAAGTCCACAAAGGATAAGAATGTGAACCAAATTAGTCTTTTGCCTTGAGCATAGGCACTTGTGATAAGTGAAGGCATTTTTCTTCCCTGCTGTGAAAACAAGTTTTGTGCATTTTGCATAAACTTTTCAGATGCAAACCCAGGCTCGCAGGGCCTGTTTTCACAAAAGGAGGTAACTTTAGACAAACATACAGGAAGAGAGAATCTAGTAAAGCAAATGACAGAAAACAGACCATCACTGTCACCTGTCACAAACATTACTAGTGCTAAAATAAAATTAATGTCAATTTCTAAGTCCACTGCTTTCTCGTAGACGAATCCAGTCAGTCATGGCAGAAACCAGAAGCCATCAGAGATTCTTTTGCTTTTTTGCTATTTTCTACATCATATCAAGCATCACATATTATCAGTATTGGCAAATTTAATACAAATAAAAATATTCTATATAGTCACACACTTCTCTCTCTGCCACCGTTCTGACACTTTGTCTCCATTCCACAGCCTCTTCAATGATTTTCTTGCTTCTCATTTATGTCCCACTTGCTCTGTCCATATTTCTGCAAAATTACCCTTTCACAAAAGTAAAGCAGTTTCCATATTCTGTCTAAAGCCCTTGAGTAGCTTATCACTGCATAAGTAGAGTCTGTAACATGACCCTTTGTGATCTCAGCCCTGCCTGCTTCCCAACTTCTCTCTACCCAGGGGCCTCTTTACCTCCCTCCATATGCCCTGCTGTATGTCCTAGTGACACTCTATACTCATTTCCACCAAATCTTTTCCTCCTAGCATCACCTTCTCTGTGAATGCTTGCATCAGTGCTAGGAAGTCTCTGCTGTACCCTCTCCTGTGGGTGTCCACTGGCTTCTGAATTTAAAGCCATCGCAGCACACACCATGCTCTATCTAGCACAGCTATAATGCAGCAGATGGACTGGTGCTTCCTAAATAAATAAGTGCCTCCATCCTTTGATTTTCCCACCTGTCTTTTTTCTCTACTATCTTCTTCTACCCTTCCACCTTTGGCCCACCCCAAAATTGCTTCCTGATCATTCTCCCAGATTTGCCTCTACTGACATCTTCCAAGAAAGATTGTTACCCATCTCCTCAGCCAAGCATGAATTTCTCAAAAGGCACACAGTCCCTCTCTTTTTCTGGGGCTTGACATCTTCAGCCAGCACCAGTCAATGCTGCTGCCCACAGGTGATGGCAGAGAAAGCGTTAGCAGGAATCATGAGAGAGAATTCTTGATGTCAGCCAGGGGAAGACATTGCCTTGAAAAACAAGTCTATTCACAATTGGGAATTCTTGTTTCCAGACTTTGCTAGAGAAAAATGAGGAGAATTTCTCACCAATTCTGGAGGCCCCAGATGAGGGGTGTGGCTCACCTCATAAGCTCAAACCAAATGAACTCAACAGCATCTCCCTGTGTACCAGGGAGATGCCAGGCATGGGATTCCCAGGCTCTGCCCTCTCTGAGCTTCCACCATGAGAAGATCACATGTCAATGGAGTAATGCCACCCAGGGAATTTCCAAGGAAAACAAAAGTGTGGGATTTAATAACTATGAATGAAAAGCGGATACTGGTTTTAACATTTAGGAAATAATGAGTCAAACTTTTTTTGTTTGTTTGGGTTTTTTTAGTGTGACTAACTAGGGTTTAAACCCAGGACCTTTGCACTAAGATACACCTCCAGCTCTTTTTATTTTATTTTGATACAGGGTCTCACCAAGTTGCCCAGGATGGACTGAAACTCGCATTCCTCTTGCTTCAGCCTCCCAAAGCATTGAAACTATGAGAGCGTGCCACCATACTTGGCTAATAGTTTTCTTTCCTCTTGGGCTTCTTAAAACCTTTAAAACACCAGGGGTCGTTATGAATCTCCAAGGAAGTTTCCAGTTTTCAGCACCCTCTTGATTTGTTGATATAAGTCACTTTTCAGTAGGAGTATATCTTCTTGGATAGCATTTCACAAGATACACTACAAGAAATATGGTTATAGATCATTATGATACCTGATCCCAGTGCACCAATTACAAAAGAAGCCCAGAGGGGCAAAAGCTGATTACAAGGTGTTTTCAGAGACGGGTTCTCAGCATACGAGTGTCCAAATAGGGTGCTGAAAGAATGTCATCAGAGCTGAACCAAAAAAGAAAAAGCTTCCTGGACGTATGTAACAATTTGCACCAAAGCTTAGAGGTATGAACTGCTGCCACAGCGCTGGAGAAATGCACAGCATCCTGAATTATATGAGTGTAAAATGCTAAGGTGTACAAACAGAGATGAAATTGAACAAGCCTGCAGGGGACAGACCAGAATGGATCTTTTAAACTAAGCAAAGGTTTTGAGCTTGTTGCTCTGTTGCATTGATTTCTTTAATGGCTAATGACATTCATTCATCTGTTGTTTTATCCATTCATTCAACCAACATTTAGAGGCAGTTGTGATATATCCCTGTCCAAAGAGAGAAGTCTGGGGTGTGCTTAGGAAGACTGGAGGCCCCTGGATGGTATCCCTAAGCTACGGATCACATGGTTATCTCAAAACCCAGCCTAACCCACCATGACCACCACATTGTCTTGTTCCAAATAGCCCTGAGTAGGAGGAAAGGGGTTCAGCATCTTCAAACATCCTTGGGCCTGGAATGGACAGATGAGGCCACTGTAGTCTGTCACATCAGCTAGAGCAAAATTAATGACATGGATCATTGCCACTGAGCAGATGACCTGTTGAAATAATTGAAAGGAGACTAGCCTGAGAAAGAAGAATCCTGGGAATGCAAGAGTGAAAACAAAGCTTGAAGATAAATAGTACTAGTAGCAACAACCTTTAATGACCTCAGCCCAGCAGTGTGTAGATGACAGGAATTCACAGGGAAAAAGGACAGTGATTTATGGAACACATGGCAGGAGAGTCTAGGCTGATGGCAGAGATGAGAAGAATAAACTAGAGCAGATTCTTTGTCAAAGTAGGAGACTGTCTTTAGAAAACAAATGTTAGCAACGAGTGATTGGTGGCAAGCAAAAGAACTTTTTCTGTCTCCCCAGGGAGAGTGAACAGACTCCACCTGATGACGGATCATGGCATCTCCATCAACTCCCTAATAAGCCTGAGGTCCGACAAGCAGAGGATGGCAGGACCAATAAAAAAATGAGAGGAGAGGCTCCTATCAGATTAGTCACACGCATGGAGTCAAAACACAGATTGCACAATAGCAGACAGCACCAGTTCGGGGTCTGTCTCTGTTGTACCCTCTAGGGCAGTGATGGCAAACCTTTTAGAGATTCCAACAATAACAAATGGCTGACTGTGGCCCGCGTGCCATAGGTTTGCCACCACTGCTCGATGGTAAGGGAATACAACATCCTGCTTTGAGGTCTGTACAGAGGAAATGAGACCCTCATGTAGACCTACACTCACCCTCAGCCTCTACTAATGGCATGGGAATTCTCATCTGCGTGTTCTGGTTTTAAGTGAGAAGCGATCAGATTTGACACCTAAGAGCCTCTCAGGTTTGAGGACCACTTACTGAGAAAAAAGGAGTGACAGACGTAGTAAGGAGGTCAACTAGTGACTCTTAGAGTGTGTTCTTAGAACACTGGCACTGGGACTTCTACATCAAGCAGGCCTCTATCTTTATAATGAAATAGCATAAGCCACACCTCCCCAGTGAAGATCTCCTGGAGAGGTGGATAATAGGTTGAATACTGTTCGCACCCAGCAAGTTCCCAGGAAGTGTGGCTATTGAAGGGATCCAAGAGCTTCTTGCACCTTTTACTCTCACACCCACAAGGTATATTTCTCTTTTTAGAAGGAAAAAAATCAGGCAATGAGCCTTATGGCAGGCAACTGCCCTTCCATATTGCTGGTCAAAACTAAAGATTACAGTCCAAAAGGCAATAGTTTTTCTCAACTACCAGTTCCGCTCATGGGTTGGCTCAGACTAGAGTTTAATGAATTAGAAGAAAGTTTATCCAAATCATCTACCCTAAGATCTTGCACAGACATGAAAGAACAAAGTTCTGGTCATAAGCAGGAGCTCTTCCACTGTGCACATCATCAAAAGACAGCCTGGGCAGTTACATGGAAAATGTCTCTGGACTTGGGAGCAATAAATTTCAACAGTATTTTGGAATCTCTCCTATCAGCAACTACAGGAGTTTCTGCTCTTTTTCAATTTGAGCTATGTATTATGACTTTGGAATTGGACAGCTCAGTTAGAAAAAGTAGGTTGGCAACAACTAGCTGTGTGAACTTAGTCTCCAAGCCTGTTTTCTGATCTGCATAATAAAAGCGTAGCTAGAGTTTACTAATTCCTGTGCTAGTGCTCTGTGTTCAAGAGCGTTCATACATTTTCTCTATCATCCTGTGTTTAGTATTTGTGTTCCTGTAACCAGTTATTAATGGCCATCGCATGTAGATGCTTGTGTGGAGGCAAGTTACTGCTGCTTTATCTGGCAGAACCTTACAACATCCCCACCACAGGGATGGCCCCTTCCAGTCACCCACACATAAGACATTGGTCCATAGGTGTGGTGGGAGAGCATCCCCTGGGCATCATATGTGATGTTGGATAAGTGCGTTCATCTACTCTGAATATATATAATTTCTTTACTCCTTTGCAGGAACGCTGGGGTAAACCATAGCTGCCAAACCCTCCCTATGCAGATTTCATCCTAATATATGTGATTTCCAAGTAAAGTTTTAACATTCAAGATGACTGCCCTCAGTTCAAAGTTGGCTCTCAGCCTGGATTTTGTGTTCTCTCACTGTAGATTTTCTGCAGCCATAGCAATTATTCTAAAAAAAAAAAAAAAAAAACCCTCTGGTTGCTTATTCTTCCTCCACACAAGTCCTGTGGTTATAAAAAGGGTTTAAGAATTGGCAGCACAGTGATACACTAGCTCTTGACAGCCAGACTCAGTCACCTGCTATGTCTCAACAGAAAACACTGTCTTACTGTCCCAGCCCACTGAGAGCCCACAAGGAACTTTGCAGCATCCACGCATCTTTTTCCCATTACACTCTATTCTCTGCTCGGAAATCTGCTCACCATAAGCCAGGCCTAAGTCAGTCTGTAAGCCTTTTCCCCCGCCACACACAGTTTTCTTCAGTAGCAGGAGTACTACCCAACCAAGAGCCAACGTGACGTGATGACTGTGTGCAGGTGAAGAGGATGGAATTTTATGTAAATAAAGAGGTAGCAGCATCCTCTCCCACCCAGAAGAGCATGCTTGATAGGCTAGACTTCATGGTCAGGAGTTATATAAACCCAGTCTCCAGACTAATTGTGCAATGCCAAGTCATAGGACTTCTGATGCTGGAAAATGGAGGCACACACTTCCCAAGCTGAATCGGGAGTTTCTTAGGAAAAGTATGGAAAGCTGTTGCAAGGTACATCCGTTTGTCCCTCAAGGAGGTAAAAATTTTCATTCATCTCTTACTGTTCTATGTTTGAAATTCTACCCAGATAAAGTAGTCTACCCGAAATAGCCTGTACACATATAATCTGATATGCACCCTTAAAAACAAACCAGGTTTTCTCCCTCATCTATACTGGTATGGGGTAAGCAAGAGTCTTTTTGTTGACAGAATTTTTATTTCTCCAACCTCCCTTTTGCTGGAAATTATGGCACAAAAACTCAATCTTCTTTTCTAGATTTAAAGCTGAAAGGATGAGCTCCAGCCATTTTTGACCCTGAGGGGAGAAGCTTCCTGAGAATAGGGCCAGCACCAAGGAATTGGGGCCAAAAACCTGGAAAGAAGAAATAGGATGACAATGACTTACCTAAGTTCCTGGGCACAGCCATTCCTATCTATAGACTTTGCCCTTTTGTAAGCCAAAAACATCCCCTTCTCACTTAGTACTATATTATTTTCTCAAAGCATCCTACCTGGTGGAATGATCAATTATAAGGATTTTTTTCAAAGTCTTGATACTCAGCTGTATGTAGTCCACTTCTGAATCTCCATGTCAGAAGTGCTATTCAAGAAAAGCCCTGCCCTCTTGCCAAAAACAGGACACCCTCACTTGTATGACACCAGCACTGGGTAACTGTCTAGATACTCAAAGCCAAAGTACAGATCTTGCTGCCTCTAAGATATCCCAGTCAGGCTGCACAGGGCCCTACCTACCAACCAGCCCTTCCACATAGCTCTCCCTTATTTCACCCTATCTAGCCAACTATTGGACGCAAAAAACAAGTATGTACCTCTTTTCCTCAAGGGGCCTCTAAATCAAAGTCAAGTCTCATGTCCCACAAAATCAATATGCTCTTCTCTGGGATAAATTTCTAGTTATTTATGTAGCTGATACACAATCATTTCTTATTTTAAACCAAATCAATAAATGGGTAGTGGTCCTTTATGGAGGGGTAATGAACAGAAACCCAGTTTTGGTTTATTATGGTGCTGATAGTCTCGCCATCCTACAAGGGCATCAGACCTTGTGTCCTGGATTCTTGGTAGGTAATTGCCTGAAACACAATAGTCAAAGATAGAGTGGATGACTATGGAGTAAGACTATGTTTGGGTTGAAGGCCAGAAGACCATGGTCTCTGTTGCAGCCTATGGCCCAGCGAAGCTCCTATGGGCCGGAAAGTAAACTAAGATACCTCTAGTGATAATGTTGAAAGTAGACAGCTTGAGTCCAGCTGCTTTATGTTTCTACTCAGTAAGGAGAAAATAAATTAGTGCTTTAACTTGTGAAGAGCATAAGCCTTACAGTCAGGTATTCGCTATCTAAATTTCAACTCGCTCTCTCTCTTTAGTTTGAGCTTGAGCAAGATATTTAACCTGTGTAACTTTCCTCATCAAGGGAAATTACCACCTGCCTCAAGTGTGTGTATATTTAAATCCTCAGATTAATATCCAGCACAACATGTTGGACAAATGCTAGTGTCAGTTGTTACAATATCATCATTAGTATGATTGTTTTTTTACTTCCTATGGCTTCTGGCCCAGAAAGCACCCCTCTCAGGATTAGACTTCAATGGCTCACCTGTGGAGGGAAGGAGACGAAAGTACTACCAAAATTCAAATGGCACACCTGACAATGCTTTTGAGAATGTGCCTTGCTTTTAATTCCTATAAAGTTGTATGGCAACAAGATTATAAGAATAAATTATTATAAAGGAAGGCTGAGGTGCAGCCATTCACAAAATTAAAAAAAAAAAAAAGGAAAACAAGCAGCCAACATTTGCTCTCCTATGTTTGATGTTATGGCTTATATCTAGATGTCCTCCCAAAGCCTCATGAGCATATGGGCTTTGGGGAGGTAGTTAGATCATGGGTGTGTGATGCTGAATTAGAGTGTGTAATGCTGGAGTTAAGGATGTCTGATAACTACATTAGTTTATTTTAGCATAATTGGTTTAGCAGAGTTCTGGGTATAGAATGGAAAGGCCCACCCTGGGTGTGGGTAGCACCATCCAATAAGCTTGAAGCCTGGATGAGATAAAAGGGAAAGTAACACTTGTTACCTTCCTCCTTCCATCAGTCCTGTCATGCACTGTTTCTTTGCCATGCCCCTCTGCCATGCCTTTCTGCCTTGTGGCCAGCCAACTATGGACTGAAACTCCTACAAACTGTAAGGTATAATGAACCTTTCATCCCTTGACTTGTGGGTGTCACGTATTTTTGCTTCTAAAATTTAAAAAAAAAAAAGGAAAACAAGCAGCCAACATTTGCTCTCCTATGTTTGATGTTATGGCTTATATCTAGATGTCCTCCCAAAGCCTCATGAGCATATGGGCTTTGGGGAGGTAGTTAGATCATGGGTGTGTGATGCTGAATTAGAGTGTGTAATGCTGGAGTTAAGGATGTCTGATAACTACATTAGTTTATTTTAGCATAATTGGTTTAGCAGAGTTCTGGGTATAGAATGGAAAGGCCCACCCTGGGTGTGGGTAGCACCATCCAATAAGCTTGAAGCCTGGATGAGATAAAAGGGAAAGTAACGCTTGTTACCTTCCTCCTTCCATCAGTCCTGTCATGCACTGTTTCTTTGCCATGCCCCTCTGCCATGCCTTTCTGCCTTGTGGCCAGCCAACTATGGACTGAAACTCCTACAAACTGTAAGGTATAATGAACCTTTCATCCCTTGACTTGTGGGTGTCACGTATTTTTGCTTCAGTAACAAAAAAAGTAACTAAGACATTTAGTTTGAAGATTCTCATACTAGACTTCTTCACCACGCGGTACATCTGTGTGGGTGCCCAGTAATGATTCTACCTGCTGGAAAGTGCCTCAGACCTGAGGCTTTGGAGAAGCTTTGCATCTTCCTGGCTAGTTTTCCACAATCCGTGGACTAATTATAGATGGTAGTGAAGGGTCAAGAATGCTATTGTCAAGCCACCCTGCTGTGGGTAATCCAAAAGAGGTCAGGAATGGTTAGACGTGAGGTCAGAAACATAAGATCATCTAGTCAAGAAACAGAGGCCTTACAGAAATTGCTTGTTGCTATAATCATATGCCCCATGAAGAGCATTATGATTCCTCATCCAGGTGCAGTGGACCCTTGACTTATGAACTCAATTGGAGACTGCCTCAATGTGGGGCAGGCAGTGGCAGAAGTACAGAGGCCGAGGCCCATCACCAATTAGCCATGAGACCCAATATAAGTCACACCGCTCCCAGGCCTGTTTCTACTCCTTGCATGAGAAAGCTGGACTAGACCAGTCATTCTCATTTTATGGCTCTCCAAAGATCAGGCTACTGGTGCCCAAGTATGCAATCATGAGCCAAAAGTTGGCACACTTACAGCACCTGTATACTCGAAGCCAGGTATTTCAGCAAGATGTGACTCCACTGGGTCAGAGAGTCCACCCAGATTTTGATTTGACTGCTCAGTCCTGAGAGCATTCCATCCCAGCAACCTGCAAAAGCCAAGGAATGGACAAATGGAAACCAATATCTGTGGAAGTGGACATTACTGGATAAGCTTCTTCCCTCTGAAATAGTGAGAAATAGTATACAAACCTTCATCAGGACTATTGGTGATAACAGTAGCTCCGTTTTGAAAAGTAGAACCCAAACTGAGACTTCTGGAGCTGAAAAGGAGCTTTCCAATACAGAGTAGACTGTTAGGTACTGTTATAATTAATTCTATTAGAACAGTTATTAAAATAACATAATTATGCTAAGCAATTTGTTGAAAAAGAGCAATTGAACACATTTGTGACATGAACTGGTGGGTAATTGCGCTTAGATAATTTATGCCAATAACTCCTTGTGCGCATCCATCAACTTAAATAAGGGTCTTACCCATTATATTAATTTGAAGACACTTTTTAAAAGTAATGAGACAAGATAGTGCCTGGGCAAATACAAAAGTCCGAAGGGTCAGTCAGACACAGTCTCCCTTCAATCAGGGAGCTGGGCTAAAGACAAATTTTGGAACTTTAAAAGCCAGAATCCATCCTCAGGACACAATTTTACACTTGGTTTTCTAGGACACAAGCCTAGATTTTTCTGCTGTTCACCTTGCATGGTTCCCTTTGGAATCAAATGCCATGGAGGTACCACAAGAGCCAACTGGTTGAGTGAAGAGTCCTTGTAGTAAATTGTATGGCGTTGTTAAGCTTTTCTCCCTTAGAATATCAAGAATATTCTCATGCAAATTGCTTTTGTGTCGGGCAATATAATTCTTATCAAGCAAAGTATATTGATTCATTTGTATGAGAAATGCTGGAATAACATACATATGAATACTAAAAATATTTATCTTTGGGTTAAAATTTTCAATTATTTTGTACATTTTTCTTCTTTGTTCTTTTCTATACCTTGAAGTTGTCTACTTATTATTTTTGTAATAGAAAAAATACTTAATATGCCATTTGCACTTACTTTTCTTCACTATTGCTCTACTATAACTGTCTTCTCCCATGCCTGTGAAGAGTTTAATTATCAATAAAAGATAAATATTAGACCTTAAATTATCTTCCCATCTTCCAGCCTCAAGTCAATCAAAGATCATTTCCCCAGCTTCCTCTCTGCGTATTCAATAAATGAAAGGAAATTGCTCAAAGGCACAGTACCTACGATCAGCAGCTACTGCCCTTACTGTTGGAATTTTTCATTCTCTTATTAATTTGAACTCTTACTGTTTCCTCTTTTCTCCCCAGAAAGCATTAACTCCTGAGCATCATTTAGCATCTTTTCCTGCCAGCTCTGTCCAGCTTCCTCACCTCACTCTGCTATGAGATCCACTCTCCATTTCTCACTGATATTGTATTCTACCCACTCATGCAACTCAGCAGTGAACTATTTCTTTCAGAAACAACCATTTTATCCAAGTAAAGTAAGAGGTGAGGGCAAGTGACAAACACATCCTTTTTCCTAAAGAATATGATTACCTGGGCCTTCATGCTGAGGATCATCCATTCCTTTAATGCAAAAGTGATTGTGGTGGCTGGAAGAAATGGACTTCCCTTTGACCTTCTGCCTCCTTTTCTCACGCTATTAATCTTTATAATCTATATAATCTCCTGTCCATCAAACAACCTGCAATCTTTTTTCTTTCTCGGAATCTCAAAGTGACTTCTGTGCTTCAAAAAACCAGATCACCAAATGCACTTCTAAATATTTTGAATCCCATACACAGTCATTGAGTCAAGACAAAAAGGAACCTAAAGATGGCTCTGCCTTATTTCCATGATACTTAATCCCTAATTACATGGCAGCTCTAGCCTGAACCCAGCATGGAGAAGCCACAAACAGAGCTCTAGATTCACTGAAGTTCTTTATTGAATTATTTGCTATAAACTTCCTCTAAGCCAGAGATTCACAAATTTAGCCTTACATCAGGATTGACAGGTGGCTTTTAAAAAATTCCAGTGTTCAAGTGATTTTCATACTATTCAGATTAGTTTCAAAACTATTAATGCCTGGAGGTGGGTCCAGCTGCTGATTCTAATATCTATCAAGTCTGAAGTATTGGCCTGAGGCCTAGCTCACAATTGTTGCTGCACACTGGAATCACCTGGAGATCTTTGCAGAAGCCCTAAGACCAATTATCACAATCTCTGGAAGTAGATCAGTTGTCAATGGGTGTTGCTGTCACCCACCACCACCACCACCAAGTGATTCTAATGAGCAAGCAACTCAGAGAACTACTTGCTAGACAAATCTTTCCCACTTCCTACAAAAATACTGGGAAGCCTCTGGGAAAAAAAATATAGGGAAGCCCCTCACTCCCTAACAATAGGAAATTGACTTCATCCTTGGACCACCTTCCTTACCTATTGGCAAATATCCATTCTTCCCATCGAAGCAGCTATTGCACTTAATTTCTCCAGAATAATTCCTAGGTAACCGTGCACTCTCATCTTCTTCAAGGAGATAATCCTCATCCCAGGTGACTCTGCTTCTCTCAGTGGCTCCTCAGTTCCTACAATCTTCCTGACAACTCGATTCTTTTTGGAAAACACATAAAGACATAGATACAAACATAGCCGAGAGAGAATGTGACATACTGATGATGGTAACGGATATTTGCCCCCATGGGAAAGCATGAAATAAATATCTGGCATCGGTAGGAACGAAGAACACATGCCATTTGTACAGTGGTGCCTCGGTTCACAAACTCCATTCTTCTCCTGATTCTGGTGAAAAACTGAACTGGACGAGAACTGAATCAAATGCAATGGTTAGGTTCCATGTTGGCCTTATGGGGAATTGTGATTTGGTGCTTGTCCAAATCATGGAAAGAAATCATGGAAAGAAAGAAGTTTGTGAACCAAGGTACCACCATATTGTTAAGCTGGGCAGGGAGCAGGGACTGGAGAATGCGGGGCAGAAAGGGGCCTTCAATTCGATGTTTAATAATTTACTATAAAATATCTGAAGCAAAGTTTAGCAAAATATTAGCATTTCTTCTGAAATGTGGGTTTATAGGTGTTTATCATTCTTGCAGTTTATGTACATTTGAAACATTAAAAACGTAAGAATCGTCACAAAGTTTTTAAAAAGTTGTTATCACTGTACACCCAGGGTATTCTACTCCACACAGGATATTTTAGTGTAGGATATTCTATTTAGTAACCGGACTGAAAAAGCAAATTCATATTTGCTTTATTTTTAATGAACAGGGTGGTTCTAGATCTGCATCAAACAAAGCAGGAGCCATTACCCACATGTGGCTGAGTAAACTAAAACTAAAATAATATAAAATATAAAATTCCATTCTTCAGCTGCAATTGGCACTCAATAGCCACATGTGGCTAGGGGCTAGAATATTAGCAGAGATTAAAAACATGTCCTTCTCTGCACCAAGTTCTGTAGTAAGCTCTGATCTAAATAATAATAGGTAATTATGCAACAAGATGCAAATGAATTTTCTCAAATTACTCATCCTTTTTTCTTTTATGTTTACATAAACCAAAGCAACTTGTGAATTATGAGTTATGAATGATAGCAATAAATAAGTGGTAATTCTACTGTGAGCCTTTCTGGAAAACAATAAAGTAAAAAAGACTGAATCCATATATAAAGAATGGCATGTTTAAAATATTTTTATGTACAGGTAGATATTTCTTGGCTAATATTAAAAAAAACTGACCACTGACAAACAGTAGTGGATGTTTAATATTAATAGGAAGAACCAGCTGGGCGTGGTGGCACACACCTGTAATCCCAGCACTCGGGAGGCTGAGGCAGGAGGATCGCTGTGAGTTTGAGACCAGCCTGGGCTACACAGTGAGTTCCAGGTCTGCCTCAACTACATAGTGAGACCCTTTCTCAAAAAACAAACAAACAAACAAACAAACAAACACAAATAGGAAGAACCAACTGATGCTCAAAGTGTCAGGGAAAATGTCGGTCCAGATGGGCTATAGCTCACAATTGTTGCTGCACATTGTAATTTCAAGTTCTTCAAATTACAAAGCAAAACAGAGCTGTCACGACAGGTACAATAATAGTAAAATCTGGAGACAAACAAAAAACTTAATCACCAGCTTCTCCCCACCTGTACATTTGTGACTCATTCCCACAGCACAGAAATGGTTTTCCACGCCTTCCTTTTTGCTCATGCAAGCATATCAGAGTAGCAACAGACACAGAGAGCATTTTTGTTTTAATTGAAGAAAATCATGTTACATATTTTGCCATTTATTGGTGAAAGTAATAATACACATCTCTGGATATAACTTTTTCCAGTTTTTCTGCATGTGCACTGAAATCCACGTAAAACCTACACTGTGATTTTATATATATAATTTTACAAAATGGGCTGTATAATTCATGCTGGGCAGCAGCAGGGGCAGTGGTATTTTTTTGCTGTTTCCTGGTTAGTTTGTTTCTATGTACTCCACTCCTTCCCCTGAACTTTACCTCCCCACAACCACTTCAATCCCAGATAATTTGCATCAACAAGAACTGGTAATCTTTCATCTTCCCCACATCCATAAAATCAAACACAGAAACTTTTATGCATTCTCTTATTGTTGTTTTCTTTATGAATGTTACTTTGTCTCTGGTACAGGACTAGCATAAAGTCAACAAAATAAACATCTTTGTACATTTCTATAGGAAATGTGTGAAGAGGGGAACTGCTGCACCGAAAACGTGTGTGTGTGTGTGTGTGTGTGTGTGTGTGTGTGTGTGTGTTGGTGCTAGCAGTGAAAAATCAGGGCCTCCCTCATGCTAGCCAGGCACTCTGCCACTGAACTACAGTCCTCTCCCTCAACACATATTTTTGTTTGGGAAAAGCAATCTGGAGAAATAAATAAACTGCCTCCAACTTATGCCAGCAATGTGAGATCCCTCTCTCTCTCTCTCTCTCTCTCTCTCTCTCTCTCTCTCTCTCTGTCTTACTCAACAAAAGATATTATTACTCTTTAAATTTTTCCCATCTGACAGATATAAAGTGATCTCTCATTGCCATTGTGTGCACTGACAATTGCAAATTTAATACTTTTTCACCTATTAGTCACTCAAATACACTTTTTCTAATAAATGTATTTGTTTATACTTTTCTTTTTCCTGCTTTGGGTTTTGTCCCTTTCTTATTAATGTATATGACCTCTGTATATATTATAAATATTAACTATTCCATTTACACTAGCTTTTTGAAACAAATCTATGGTTGTTTGATTTAACTAATATCATTTGCAATTCAAGATTTAAAAAAAGAAATATAAACAGTTCTGTCTTTTCTGCTGCTTTAAATATTCCATCAGGCTTTCTCTCCTTTCTCTCCAGAGAAAGCCAATCAGATCCTCCCCATAATAGATGCTTGTTATGGTCCTGGTCTGGTCCTGGTTTTTGGCTCTTTTTACCTAAATATCTGGTGCCGAAGCCCAGGAGCAAGGCGATCAATTAAGTGATGATGCCCTGCACATCGGGGTTGATAGGCCTTTTGGCTGCCTCCTCAGGACCTCATCTGCCCAGCCAGGACCTCCTCAGGGCTTTCGACCTTTGCCATTGCTTAAGACTCACATCCACACTGGTCACGGATTTCAGGGTGAGTAGGTAGTTAGCTTCCCTCTACTCGGGTCCTCTGTCTCGTTCTCATTCTCTCCCTCTGGGGACTACTCGGAAATCCAAGGGCTTGGTTGGAGAGAGCCTCTTGGCACACTGGGCCCAGGACCATGCCCCTCGGGGATGCCCCATCCACCTGACTCCTTTCGTTCTCCCCTTCTGGGGACTGGCTCGGGAGTATCAGAAGAGGTGGAGACATTCCTCTCTTTCGCCTTCCTCCTAGGGAGCTGACTCCTCCTCACCCACCCTAATATGGGTGCCCAACAATCCAAACCCCCTCCCTCAATGCCTCTTGGCTGCCTCCTGGCACAACTTTGTCCCCTTGGACTGTTGGGGCCTGATTTTAAAACAGAATGACTCAGTTTTTATTGCAACCAAGTTTGATCTCAGTACAAATTAGATAATAAATCTCAATGGCCCAAAAATGGCACTTTCAATGTTAATATACTGTGCAATTTACACACGTTATTCAATGCAATGCCAAGTGGTCAGAAATCCCCTACCTACAAGCCTTCTTTCTCGTCCCTCTCTCAGTCAAACCCATTCGCCCTCTCAGGCACTTCTAGCCCAAACTCTGTCCTCCACCCCTCCTGACTCCCACCTCTGATCCAGCCGACCACTCACTGCTCTCACCTCCCCCACCCTGTAACCCAGTCAGTTCTCCCATCTCATGAGCTTATCCCCACCATCTTGTGACCCTTCCTCATCTCTGCCATCTTGTGTCTCTCCACCACACACCCGCGCTCTCCCTGCTCCTCAAGAGCTTCCCAAACAGGAGAGTGAGTTAACAACCACTTCTCTGCTTACTCTTCCTTCCCCAGCTTCCTCAGAAGAGAGAGGAAAGCAAGACTCTGCAAAAAAAAAAAAAAAAAAAAAGAAGAAGAAGAAGAAGAAGTAAAATCCTCTCCTGACCCTGCCTATTTATATATCAACAACTTGTTTGGCAGGATACATTACCAAGAAATTCCATCAGGCTCTATTGTTTTCTACATAAATATTGGAAAATAAAATATAAGGTTTTAAAACAATTCAAAGGTTACAGCCCAGTAAGATGTTTAAAAAACCAAAAAAAAGTATAAATTCTGGCTAATTGACAAATGTACCTTTCATCTTCAACTTAAACAAATGTTTGGTTGGTGTTTTGTTTCCCGATGTTTAATAGATGTATTTGAAACATTTCTTTTACATTGCAAATTCTTAAATTGTAATTATAGTATTAACTTGACCTTCTCTCTACTTTCTGCTTGCAGATTTCTGACAATAACTATAACACAATATTATGCTGTTATAAAGCTCTTTAACTCCTTCTGATTCTAATTGCAAGAGATTTCTGTTAATTGATCTGCAAAAGTTTTGACTATTCTTAATTTAAAGAGATATTATAATTCAATTGGCCAAATATATTTGAGTGCACTATAGTTTCATACATTGTCTTATATGTTTGTGTCTGTCCAATTGTTTGAAAGTGTTTGTCCAATTATATTTTTTGATCGAAATGGCATGAAAGATACAAATAAACTGTTAATTTCTACAACCTGGTTTTACAGGTCAAATAAAAAATTGTCAAGATAATTAAATATAAACTTTTAGGTTTGGATAGACGCCTGTTGGTGAATAAAGAAGAAGCTGCTCAGAAAAATTTATTCTGCTCTTTGTTCACTAATGGGAGCACCAATAATTTTCATAGCTTTATGAGAAGACATACCCCCAATAAACATTGCTAAATATGTTGTTATTAAATATTTACATTGGTTATCATCAAAGGGTTGAGTTCTAAATACGTTATTGTGATATGTTTATAATAATCATCTTAAAAAATAATGTATTCTGTCTGTGGAAAAATAAGGACTGATTAAAAAAAGATCCTTTTGTTTCCAGCTACACTACAGGACATAAGGTTTCATATAATTATAATTATTACTACTACTTTTTTGGTATACAAAATATATTCATGTTTTCTGACTATACAGATCTCCCAACATATTGTTTATGACAACAACCTTTTGATCCAGGTAACACCCTTCTCTTCTGCTCCACCTACCCATGATTACAGGTATATTTGTAGGCCTATTCACTTTTCTTAGATGGCATCCTATCAAAAGGTAAAAACTTAAGTAAGAGTTTCCAGTTTTTTTGTTTTTGTGTGCTTTTAGAGGGGAATAAATACATTTAACAATGGCAATTTTATACTAAGATACATATCTAAGTTTGTTGCAAAGATAATGTCATCATGATTGTCATGCTAAAATATGATGATGATGATGATGATGATGATGTGTGGCTCCTGATTTCAGGTTTTTTCTGTTAATATTCTACAGGAAATTAACTTCTAGAAAAACCATGATTAATAAAAATAACAGTCCTCTATCAATTATACCATTTGGATCTTATTTACACTTTTAGTTTTTTACACCAGAGAAACTACTCAATATTTACTCAAGTTGATAGTGTGAAATAGGAAGAAAATGGCTAAAGGGGAAGTGAGAAGGGGAGGGGAAAGGAAATAAGGGAAAAGAAAAAATGTGAAAAAAGGAAAAAGTGGAAACAAAGTCTTTGTAAATAGGGAAGGGTGAAGGGGGTAAAGGGAGGGCAGGGGTATGGGGAAAAAAATAAGAGCCAAGACAGATCATGGAAAGGTACAAGATCCCAATGATAAATGTAACTGTGTTGTTTGCTTTAAATGTACCAATAAACTTGATGGGGAAAAAACAGAATAAAATAACAGTCCTCTATATATTTTTAATTGAGTTTATTGGTACATTTTAGGGATACAGTACAGTTACATTCATTATTGAATGTGCATGGCAGGTCTTGGTTCTCATTTTTTCCCCTTGTCCCTGCCCTCCCTTCACCCCCTCGTTCCCTCCCCATTTACAAACATTTTATTTCCATTTTTTCATTCTCATGTTTTTTTCTTTTCCCTTGTTACCTTTCCCCTACCCTTCCCCCTTTCCCTACACCTTTAGCCCTTTTCTTCCTGTTTCACATTGTCAATTATCTCATTACTTCTAACCATATTTTAAATTCCAGATAAAGTTATAACAGTTAAGCTCACTGCTCCTACTGTACTACTGATGTCACTGGTCTTCTTTTCTGGGTGTTCAACCAGCAAAGGGCAGAGACCAACACTAAAAGGTAACTGGATTAAGAAGACCACTAATATTTTGGCCCTGGCCCTCCAAGGTCATCAAAGATCCAAGGTACAAAGGAACCTTTTCTACAATACCTTGCATATTTGATAAGTAACCCAATTTCCTGAGCAGGGAGATTGCTGGACACCAGAGGACAAATGTAACATGTGCTAAAGGCGGATCACAAAGAGAAAAAATCTCCTACACTTTCACTGAAAGCAACTTGGTCAAGCAAGGCCATGACCCATCCTACTGGCTGACACTGACAGAGGAGCTGAAAGGCTCTACGCATGATTCCAAAATAATACCTAAAGAGACTTAACTGATCTTGACAGACAGAGCAAGATGTTCATATTGATTAACACAGGTCTCACTTTAACTTGGTCTTAAACATCCAGCAGAAAAGAATAACCAAAAGAGGTACTAGCAACAGAGAGGCTTTTGAGGCCAACCACTCCACCTCCCTATAAAGGGATAGCTCTCCAGGTGGTAAACCAGACAACCCAGTCGCAAAAAAAGCTACACCTATTTAATACCACCCTCCACTCTCTCCATCAATATCTCAGGGTGCTGGATGTGTACGTCTGTTTACCCCCATTTGTTCACTCCAATTCCCATCCCCCTAGATTTTACCCTGTCTCAAATACTGGCAATTTATCCACAGTTCTGGGACCCTTCACTGTGGGTCTCCCATTCTCTACACAAACCACTAACCTGATATGCATGGGGCAAAATGACATCATCACTCGCCTTGCTTGCTCCCTCTTTATCTCAGCAGAGCATCCGATCTGCCTGTCCAATGGCCTGTTCTTCACATGTAATCGAGAGGCATTCCAGTGCCTCAATCAGTCTGACGTTTTCTGATGCACAGCCTTCCTTGGCCCTCCCATGACCATTTATACAGAAGCCCAGATGTCTAAACAAGTTCCCCCACAGAACACAATCAGAAAAAGGGCAGCTCCCCTTCTACTCCCCTTCTTAATGAGAGCGGGGGATGGCAATGGGGATAGTGGGCATTTCTACATCCACACACTTCTATCAAGCCCTGTCCATAAAGATTTCAGCAGACATGGATAAAATAAGCCAGTCCTTAAATACAGTACAAGATCAAATAAATTTTCTAGCAGTAGTCATGTTACAAAATAGACATGCTGACAGAGGCCCAAGGGGGAACATGCCAGGTGCTAGGTGAAGAATGCTGTTATTTTGTTAACCAGTCAGAGAATTTTTTTTTTTTTTTTTGTACCGGATATTGAATTTGGGTCCTTTCACTTTCCAGGCAGGCAGCAGAACCACTGAGCTAAATCCCCAGCCTAACCAGTCAGGGATTGTTAAAGCAAAGGTTAAAAAAATACAGCAGAGCATTGAAGAGTGAAAGAAATGATGGGATTCTTGGGGAATAGACCAAAGCTATTCCTGGCTTCTCCAAGTTATGCCTTGGCTACTTACTCCCCTTGTTGAGCTCACTGGCTTCTATATGTCTTTTAAGCATGATAGGGCCCTGTCTGTTTCACTGTTTTCAAACTTTTCTTGCAGGAACCTATGAGGGAATTTACCAACCAGACCGTCACAGAACTCATCATGGAAGGGGATTGGCCACTGCAGCAGATGGAAGAAACCCCACCTACCACTACCCCCACCAGATCCTGGTTTGGCCCCAACCATTGCCCCTTCATCAGCTTGAAGCAGCTCCAGACGAGACCTTTGTCCAATAGCCATAAAACAAAAGCCTGGAATGTTAGATTTCCCTCGCCTTAAGATGGTCCTAACTAGTGATGCCACAAGCCCCTCCTAGTGACATCACAGGCTCCCTCAATCCCTAGCCACTACATCACTCAATCCCACCCCAGCTCCTAAAAGCCCCACCCCAGCTCCTATAAGAAGCACTCCCTGTCTCAGCCATATTGCTTTCCCCCCTTTGTTCAGAGACAGCCCGGCAGAACCTCCCCATAATAAAGGCTTGTTATGGTCCTGATCTGGTCCTAGCTTTCAGCTTTATACCTAACAATAATTTAGGGGAATTCTTGGGCTCATTGTACATATAGACACTGGACACTTACAGACACTACAGACTTTGTTTTGTTTTGTTTTGAAACAGATTCTTGCCAAGTAGCAGTTAAGGCTGGCCTTGAACTCATGTGTTTCTCAAGTTGGTCTTAAACTTGCTGTAATCCTTTTTCCTCAGTCTCTTGAGTGCTGGCATTACAGGCGTGTGCCACAATATCCAGCTCAATACTAAGGGATTTAACAACAGCATAGTTGACATTCATTAGACCTTGGTCACTTTAAAGCAGAATTTAGAGAAAAACAAGTTTTGAACAATTTTCTCTGGAACTTTTCCTCCCTATAACCACTGACCTGTTTTGCTATAGATAAGGTTAACAACTATGTTCCTGTAAGCAGAGTGCTGTGACATCCTGATCTCACAGATGTTTTCTTTCAAGACTGTTACAAAGCTGTCACTCAGTGAATAATTGCCTTTGTCTCACTTTTATAAGCACACTTGCCCCCCATCTTTTAGTTTTATGCCAATCTCCTTTAAAGAAACATATGAAAATTGGAGCCTTTCTTTTGTTTGGGGCTCAGCCTTTGGACAGGAGTCCACTGAGCCTGTGTACACCTAAAATAAATAAGTAAATAAATAAAAATGTTTCAAAAAAATATTCCATCATGATTAAGGTCTTCTCCACCCTTCAACTACATATGCATTTCCCAAGAGTTTCTTTAAACAATATTCTACATGAACCCAATATCTCTTTATTTTGAAGCATATGAAAGAGGGAATACAACTCTTGTTTTCTTTCACATGGGTGGTAGGTCAGAGGTTTTGCCAGCACCATTTATTAAATATCTCTCCCCAATGAAATGAATTTATTTTCTTGTACTTCTCATGTACCCTGAGACCTAAAATTCATTATAGTCCATTTTTTTTGCAGCCTGTTGTTCCCATATCATATTAATTTGACTACAGTGATTTTTTAGGATCTCATATCTGAAGCAAATCTTCATTCTTGTTTTTCATACTGTTCTTGACTATTCCTGGATGTTATTTTTTTCTATGTAAACTTTGTGATCATTTTTCCTAAATGGAGTAAAATAGCAGCTTAAAAATGCTGTAAAACGTCTAACTGGAAGTTTGTTAAATGTGTATGTTAATTTGGGCACAAGAGTTCAATGAAAATGTTATCCCATTCAAGGCCATGCTATCTTTCCATTTGTTTGGATCTTGATTTAAACTTTCCCACTTTAGTCCTGTACATCATTTGTTAAATATGTCCATGTTTTATGGGGGTTTTGGTCATATTCATTCAATGAATGTTTATTTAGTATTTATGATATTCCAGGCATTGCTCAATATGGAAGATACTGACTGAAATAAACAATCTTCACTCAAGAGTAAGTTTACATGTTCTAAGTCCATTTTCTACTGCCGTAACAATATCACAAACTGGGTAAATTATAAACAATAGTTTTTTTGGCTCACAATTCAGGAGGCTGGAAGTCCAAGTTCACAGTTATGGCATCTGGCAAGGGCCTTCCTGCTGGCTTTTAACATGAAGGAACAGCACGTGAGCATGAGCAAAAGGGAAAGAGAAATGATAGGGGCCAAACTTGTCCTTTCTGAGTGCATTCTCACCATAACTAACCCATTTCTGTGACAGCAGCACAAATCCATTCACCAGGACACAGACCTCAGATCTAATTAGCTCTTAATATTCCACCTCTTATTACCATAACAGTAACAATTAAATGCTATATTATCACCCCCAAATATAGTTTTTTTCTCTAGAGTTTTCTTGTCCTATTTTCCACATTTTCTAGAACTTAAAAAAATAGTGTTAAGTAATATGATAGTGGGTATCATCACTTTGTGCTTCACAACTTAGAATATGTTATTGGATTTTAGTAAATATGACTTCATATTTAAAGTTACTCCCATCTTATTTGAATTTATATTAGGAATGACTTTTCTACATTCATTAGTTTAATAAAGTTTTGACACTCAGAAGAAACCTTAAGGTTTCTCAGAAGAAACCTTACTTGATGAAGGTTTATTATTTTTGCTAATTTTTAGATCAATATTTTAGAAATTTTCATTTATTCAGTAAATGAGACTGGTGGTATTTTTGTATAGTATTTAATGCCAGGTTCTAATATTAAATTTACAGTGAATTCATGATTGGTGAGTTCCCATTCCCACTTTTGCTTAACCAATTTTGTCCTCCCACATGGTGTAGAATTTTGCTCATTCTAAGTATTGTCCATCACCTAGGAATGTGTTAGAAATACATAATCCCAGGCCCTAAACTAAGGTTGAGAATGAAAATACACATTAACAAAATCTCCAGATGTGTTGTGTGCACAGTAAGACTGGAGAAATTCTGAGGATAATTTAGTTTAAACATCATTGGAATTTTTAAAAGTCATATAGAACTCAAGATATGAAGCTGTCTAATCACGTTAACTTTATACTTTTTAATCTATGTTAAATGGTATATTCACAGTTTCTATTACTTAGATCAACTTTGGCATTTTATATTTTGCTGTCATCTGTAACTGCTGATTCCTACAACCTTATTGCTAGTCTTGTTACTCTTACAATCTTTTTCACCAACTGGTAATGACTGGCTCTTTCCTTGTCTTGAATCCTATCAAGCTTACAAAAGCTTTATTTATTTATTTATTTATTTATTTATTTATTTATTTATTTATTTATTGGTCTTTTCAAAGAACCAGCTTTTGGAATTATATGACTCCTTCCAATATAAATAAAAGGGGAGAGAATTTAATGTGAATGATTATGGATGAGTTCAGTTTTGCTCTCCATTAACATCAAAACCTAGTACACATGCAAATCTGAACTTCCAGGGACCAAAGCTTGAGAATACAGGATTTATGCCAATCTTTAATTCATGAACCTGTTTAGATAGGGACCTACCTCCACCTAAATTACTTTTCTGCATACTTAATCACATTCTAAATGCCATTTATTGGTCTGACAGTATAACTCACTAAATCTTGCTTTACAGTTTACATGCCTTTTATATGCTCTGTTGCATTTGAGATTCACATTTGAAAAGGTCTAAAAGGAAATCTTTTACTAAAGGAAATGTGGTCCCTAGCACAATTTTCTTGTACTGAGATCGGGTGGGGCCTTCAGAATGAATCTCCCAAAATGGCAAACAGGAACCATGGAAGTGTCAAGCAGGGAACTAAGAAAAGGGAGAGGCATAGGTTGAAATTTTAGCCATGCACAGATGTAGAAAATGGCACATTTCAAATATTCACACTCGAAAGAAGTTTTGTTAAATGCACTAGCTTTCTTCTCACTTCAATTAAGGAATCAAGGTTTACCTTCTTAAAAATGTATGAAAAACTTATTACTTACACACTTTCATTTTTTTTAAACTTTGCAAATATTCTTAATCAGACAAGGATTTCAAAGGCCAGATAACTGTAAACTGCACACAAACTGACCCAAGATTAAGATAATAGCTGCAAAAATACATAGTTTATTGAATTTGGAATTTTTAAGTTCACTGATAGACCAGTCATGTTACTATAGAGAAGTTATTACAAAGATGCTGCTAAAGTCCTTCACATAATTAACTTTAATCTTGCGCTTCAGACCAGAGAATTCAGATCTATAATAATGTTTTATAATATGCATTCGCAGAAGCAAGCACTCGAATAGCCTCTTTTGTGGTATATTTAGTTCTTTAAAGTATCTGCACTAGAAACCATCTTAACCTCATATTTCTGACAGTGCTGTGCTGAAAACATCTTTATTCCCCAATACTGATGAGTATTAAAAAAGAGAAATCATCTTCAATCCTTCCTGATCAATTCTCCTGTATGATACTTTTCTCTTTAACCAAAATATTCCCCTCTTAAACCCCAAGAAAATAAATGAGATAAAATGACAGAAGTAATCAAATGAGGTCCACTGCATTTAAGTCTTAGAAATGAAACCCTAAAGGACAGATCTTTTGATAATGACATCATGAGCAGAATGTTCACTAAGAAGCAAATAGAATTAACTAAAGTAAAATAATCTGTTTTTTAAGATTTTGAATTTATTACAATTTTTCTTCTGGGAAGAAATCTAAATTTAAACCCTGTAGCAGCTGTCCTCCCACTCAAAGTCCTAGAAAGAGAAGATACACAGACACTACAGGATTGTTCTGGTTCTTTAGAAGTGAGACATGGTATCCACAAAACAGTCCCCAGAAAATGTCCCCTTCAACTAATGCCACTCAAAAAAAAAATTTTTTTTTTCCATTCAGCCCTAAGTGGTTGAGTATCTGCCAGGGTACACAGTCCCTCCATCTGGATGGCTGACCACGCAAGTGGGTTCCACAGTACAGTACAAACACTCACATGAATACATGGCTATTTGGGGAAAACTTGCGGGAGCAGTGCAGGTAACTTAGAGGAGTCATCCTTCTGTCAGTGGAGGACAACTTAGCTAAGGGAAAGCAGCAGAAAGGACAAAAACATAGATAACAAGCAAGCTATTATTGCAGCAAAAGATGTACTGATGGGACACAGGTAAAGACATTGCAGAATTCTGATGTCAAAGTCTTCATGTCATCCTTTGACATAGCGTATTAATTCCTAAAACAACCTTGAAAGGTTATTTTCAGATACGGGAAAACAGTTTAAGTAATTTATAGATAGTTACACTAGAAAACGGCACAGGACTAGAACCCAGAACCAATCCTTTACTCCTAACCTGCTTGGCAGCTATGTGGGAGGATAAATTTTAAGGAGACAGGATTAAAAGAAATGTTTGGAATCTTACCGTAGTAGTCTATGCAAAAATTGACAAGGCCCTAATCTTAAGTGTTGGCAGTAAAGCATAGCAAACAGTCCTATAAGCCCCGGACTCAAGATTCCCCAAGTTAAAACAAGTTTTGGTTCTACCAACACACCAGCTGATGGTAGATAAGATATGTCTCTGCTTTAGTTTTTCCATCTATAAACTAGTAATAGCAATTTTTACCTGCTAAGATTTCCTGAGAATTAAATGAGATCACATATGTAACTCTGACTAGGTATCACAATGCAAACTAGCCATTAATGGTACAGATGACGGACAGTAAAAGATGTTACAATGAAGTGACTAAAATTAGCAGGGTTAAGGGAATGATTTGGGCCCAGGGAAAGGAGGTAATGGAAAAGGAGGCAGGGAAGACTACCAAGTTTTAGCTTACCTAGGAGCTTACTAAGTAGACCACCAATGGTAAAGAAACTGGTTTACGGAAGAGATTATTTTCTTTTCCTTAAAGAATTAACAGGATATCTACAAAGACACCTAGAGTGTGCAACTGAATACAAATATGAACCTCAGGGAAGTGAGATGGGGAGTCATTAGCAAGTAACTACAGTAATAAAATGTGAGTGGTAAAGCAGATGCTCAAGTGTTTTTCATTCTAAAAATATGGACTTTTATTTGGGGCTAATATATGAAATGCAATAAAATTCAAATACATGAAAATACAGAAAATGAGATTTAGTAGTAGAAAAATGGAGAATGATTTCTAACAATCAGATGTATATTCCCACTGCTCAGAAAAATTAGTGTACTAAGCACTTTGATCCCAAGTCATAAATACCAAATAAGGACAAATTCCCTTTATATTTCAGATTGAGTCAAAAATTTTTCAAAGATATACAGATATAAAATAATACAAAATTTACAAAAGTGTATTTTATATAGCATGCTTTTAAAAATATAATGAAAGGGCTGGGCCTCAATATTGTCTCAGAATGACTCCCAACAAAAAACAGCTCCTTTTAATGGTCTGCTATCAGGATGCCAACTGGCCAGATTTCCTCTAATGCAAGTCATTTCTCCCTAATATTTAGGATTTTGTTTCTGTAACTAAGTAAGAAAGTTAACATAGGTCTGCTCTATTTACTTAGCAAAATATTTAATGATTTGAATTATCTTGCCACATCTGGAACAAAGCCTTCATTTAAAATGAAATATTATTGGGATTTAACTGGATGGCATCATAAAACTCATGACATCATCACACATACAGTTCACAAGACACAGCAATTTCAGCTCAAAGTGCCTGTGATGCAACACGGAAGAGACCTATAAACTTTCTACTTTCCTCCATCACCATGTAGACTCTAATGCAGGAGTATCTGGCACTTCAAAATGAAAATACTGAGATTATTTCAAGGTATCACACTTAGAGGATTGGAGGCAGTAGTCTGGGATGGGTATCACTAATTCTCTGTAAGGAAGGAGTGCTGTTGACATTTTCAACAACACAATTTTTTTAATGTGTGGATGTGAATCCCTCACAACTAAATGTTTCGTATCCCTGCTCAGCTACAGCCCAGTACTAGAACACAATCCATTATGCTGAGTCTCAGAATATAAAATAGTACTTCCAAGTCCCCACATCAATTACCACACTTAGTAATTACTTTTAGAATGATTAACAGAAATTTTGGTATTTATTTTTTTGATACAAACACTTAGCTGCTAACATTAAATAATGGAACTCTCCATAGTAAATCCCCTTTGGACAGCCTTAAACTCATTTGCTATTTTACAAGTGTGCATGCAGATTTTGTACAGTGCATATGTTACTGACCAACCTCCCAACAACCCAAGCCAATCTATCAAAAAGTAGCTGTGATGTTCTACAAACGGCAAAGCCCACTCCTCCTCCCAAGGGGAATATCACACCTCAGTCCTGTTTCACCTGTGTTAACTGTTTGAGGCCAGGTCTAGACTGGAGGCAGAAGGACATAAAATGTCAATGCTGATGTGCTCAAATCCCACCTCCTCACAGTGAAATGATGAATTCTGCAAAGCTAACCGGAAGAAACACATGAAAATGTAACCACTACAAATGAAACCAGCAGGGTCATTTGTTACAAGACAGTATAAAGTCTCAGATGCTCCGTTCTGCCTCTTGATAGGGTAGACACAGGAGTATTAGGGACATGAACACCCCCAAGCCAAATGAAGGAAATAACAGAGAAGCACTCCCGTTTTGGAAAGCTTCTCTAAATCATTACCCCATCACTGTTTCTTGAAATTAAAGAATTCTAAGTACTGCACACTCCCTTATAGGATGCCACCCCCCCAAAAAAAAACAGCTAACCATACCTGAAGGAAAACCCTCAGAGGTGCCAATACCTCTGCAACACTCTTTCCCATAGATTACAATCAACATTATCACAAAGATCACAGTGCAAGAGAACATAGGACATTTGCTAAATTCTGTCGAAAAAGACATAAACTGCTTTGGAGATGACCAGCTAATGTTACCCATCCTAACAAGAAGCTCTGAAGAATCTGTGCCTTGACATACAGCAGGAAACAAATATTTGGACAAGAAAGTAAATGAGAAAGTCAATTATAGATTTCCAAAAAATCTTGTACAACAGTCTGTAACTTTTAATTAGAATTAGGTTATCAAAGACATTGTACCTTTTAAGACTATGACTGAGCTTATCAATGTTTAGCAGTGGCTTTATTAAGTGAATGTTTGAAAGATTTCCACATTAAATTCACTTCACATTAATGTGTGCAAATAATTAACAATTTTTAAATGTTTCAAAGTAACCAACTTGAAGTACAGACAGCTTGCTCTCAACTCTTCTTCTGAGGAGACATGAAGACTGAAAGAAGCCTAGGACTTGAGTCCAAGTCTCTAACCAACAATCACTAAATCATCACTGGTGAACTCATATGTGGGAACTTCAAGGTTGAGAGGTGCAGGCCCCTTCCTGATCCTGCCAGAGGCATCGTAGTGTGACCCATGGCAAGGGCAGTAATAACCTCCAAAATCTCCTGCATTTGCAATGGGCACACAACCAAGATGAGTACACACACCTATCAGGATAACCCATTCAGGTTTCTTTACTCGTTCTAAATCATGCTGCGGGTCCCTCAACTGGGACACTTCGACTGCAGCTTCTTGATCAATTTCCTTCTGGGTTCTATGGCGCACAAACAGAGGTTTGCCTCTCCACTTGAAAGCCATGTTTTTGCCTTCTGGAATATCAGACAGCTTGATTTCAATCTTCGACATGGCCAATACATCAGCAGAAGCACTCATGCTGGAAACAAACTGGGAGACGACATTCTTGGCAGCATACGCAACACCCACAGTAGCTGTTGCAGTTACCAAATATGAGAAGCCTTTTCTAACCTCACTGCTCTCTTTGGAAGACTTTGTACTATCTAAAACTTCGGCACGACGATAGTCGGAGAAGTCGGGTACTCTGACATCTGTATGGGAGTAACGAACAGAAGCAGGAACTGCAAGACAAACAGGTTAGAAAACAATTAGACAAGCCTGATGGGGCATATATCAGGAAAC